ATCTATATATCGGTCAAAGAACTGAATAACAAATTATCAGGATCGTGGAGATTTATAATCAATAAAAATGTCTGGGATATGTAAAAACAAACATTTCTCTTACTAAAAAATACTCTGATGTTTGATCTTTAGTATTCAGAATTTCAGCACAATTTTGTTGAATATTAAAGAACTTTTTTAAGTTCAAATCAATCATACAAGTTTTTCCGACACTCAAGAATCCAACAATATAGTCTCGGAAATGCGCGTACTCCCGAAGGGACAGAACTGTTACACCCTCTGTTCCTGCTAGGGTATGCAAATAAAAATAAAAATTCATATCTAAGCGTGTCAAGAACATTGTTCGCTCATTAGACGACGGGTACAGCGACGACATCGCCATCCACATACAGAGTCCCCCTCCTATTCCCTTTTCCCCCCGCTATTTTTGTTGTTTCTGTTTCTGTTTCTCCCATACAATACTAACTTTTGTTATACTCGTACCGCTCCAGCCGTTATAAATATAGAGAGGGAGCAGAGCAGGAAGGAGAGCAAGAGCGGGCGACTGGGAGAGTGTTGCACTGAAAACTGAAAGCATCGTTGATTAGTACTTCCTGAGACTGCTTTCTGTATTATAGTCGAGATATTCCATATCACGCAATGGCTAGAGAAAGAGAGAGATGGGGAGGGGGCGAGAGGTTTGCCAACAAACAAACAACTGCAGCATCTGGGGGCAGAGGGAGAGAAGCTTGGGCCCAGCTTATCAGCGGCACCAGCATAGGACGGTTCATGGGGGTTCTAATGCAAGAGGAATGCAGGAATGTTGAAGTTTCAGGTGTGCCTCTCTTCCGGCTATACATCTGCATACATGTATGAGAATAAATCACCAATTAGTATAAAATCGCAGTAATCAATTAGTTATCAATAATTTTATACCTTAAATATTAAGTTGATCCAATCATCCTTTCTTTGACAGGGCACTTACTTCCTCCTTGATGCCATAGACCCTTCTCTTCTCATATAATGGCACAAGACCCACCCAAGGAGACGTGAGAAGAGCGCACCCCATCCGAGAACGATTCCAGCCGTAGTTAATGGACAATTGATTTCCTCTTTGAGCTTTCTTCGGCTCCGGCTCGGAGCGCATTTAAACTCTGAACCCGGCAATTGATTGCCGGCGAGAAAGCTTCATTTGGCGGACACTGTCCCTCCGTCCGTCCCGTTGGCCCATTGGTGTGCGTGAGTGTGTGCGTGTGAATGAATGCGTTCTCTAACATCGAAATGAATTGCTTATTTTGACATTTATTAAAGCTTTAAATAAAATTTATGCAGAGAATCAATTAGTGGAGGAAGACCATAAAAGCGGGAGAGCAGCCCAGCCGCAGTCGGAGGGGGCACGGAAAGAGGCACCGGGGACCTACGCACGCAGCCGAAAGTCAAGTAACGCGAAAAGTATCTTGAGAATATTTCTCACAATCGGTTTGTAGACAAGACGGGTAAGGAAAAGGCAACCAGATATACAGAACGCGGCTGAAACGCGAAAAAAGGCTTCGAGGGTGTGGATACCCTTGCCGATACCATTGTTACGGGACACATTACGTATTCATCCGATTTGGATACAGTTTAGATATGCTATGAAGCTTGTTGAATTTCATCGATTATTGACCGACTATTGTTGCTTTGTCTGCTATAAGATATGGAAATCCGTTCTATATACTGTCTGAACCCAATGGCAAAGATTCTGGGGGGAGTTTTAGACAATTTTCAGATCGGTAGGGCTTCATCTCTGCTCTTCACACATCTGATGAAAAATAATCATACCCTCTGCAAGGGTATAAAAAGTAGCAGCAACAACAAATGCGGCGCAGCCAAAGAGAAGGCAAAAGGACAACCGGACAGCAGCAGAAAGAAGAGCAACAACAACAACAATCGAAGGAGCGACAAAGACTGCAAGAAATCACAAGCAAGAGTGTGGTGGGAGCAGGAGGAGACGAAGGCGAAGAACTGAAAGATAAACAGACTCGCAGACAGAGGCACCAATACATATTGAACGCCAAACTCCTCAAACGAGTCCTGCATACATGTACAATATTTTGGCGCAAAAACCTCCTGCCCCTACTCCTATTCCTCCTTGCACACTCATTCTGTGGCCCTGCTCTTCACCTACTTCTTCGCTGCGCTGCGCGCTGCGCGCTGCCCGCTGCCCGCTCTCCGCTGCACTTCGTCGACTGCAAGAAATCTCAGCGCCGCGTCCGCTGCGGCTGCGGATTCCCTTCCCCCACTCTTCTCCAACCATTCTCCGCAACGATTCTCACTCATTCTCACACATATACACACACACACACACACATGGAAGAGGCGACCAGTCGAGCTCGTGTTAAGGAATTTGCGCGCGCACGTTGTTGTCCCCGTTCCCTCTATTCCCGTTCCCGTTCACCTTCTCCTGCTCCTGCCTCCTGCCTCCTGCTCGTGACACACACACACACGAGCCGTTCTCAGCAGGACTAATTCGTTTTCTTTGCTGCTCATATCCTTCGGCTCCTTGGGCTCTTGATCAGCTGATTGAACACATGTATTGAGGCAGGAGCACATAGAGGGATGGGTAAGGAGAGGGCGAGACGGGTCATTCCCTGCCGCTATCCTTGTCTAACTGTTTCTCATGCGATCCTTCTCTGCTCCTTTTTCTGCTCTTTGCCTATGTGCGTTTGCATTGGGTGTTTTTCTGATTAGTTTTTGTCGATTCCTTTTTCGGATGTCCTTATGTACTCTTTGATTTCCCCTACCTTTTGTCTGTTGGGGCCTGAAGAGAGTATTTTTAGATCAGGGCCAGGGGCTGGCGAAGGGACAGACGCAATTCTTCGATGACAGACTGTCGACACCTTCGACAAAAATTTGTAATGCAAATTGTTGGGGGAGTCCGCGTCATACGCCAATATGTAAATAGCTGGGAATGTACAGTGGAAGCCGCCTTGGGGGGAAACTTTTGTATATTCTGTTACGTTCAAAAGGAACCCATGTACATTCCACGCGTTTAAAGTAATTGATTTCCCTGCAAGCAAGCTTTCACTGTCTTCAGGCATACATTTGGATCTGTGTGTGTGGGGCATACATAACTCACCTAGACATAAAATTGCTGGCTCTCCGCTTTGTACCTTCCTTCTAATTGCATTGCGCGCCTTCTTCAGCTTCCTTTGCCCCTTTTACCGCCTGCCACACACATGCACGTACACTGGGACCGCCCGCCCAGCCAGCCCCTCCACCCAGATTTTAAGCATTTGCGCGCGCGCGCGCGAGTGTATCTCAAACGCTTGTTATACACTCATGGGCTTTTATGTGTTTGCAGATACACTCGTACGCACACACAGGCACGACCGTATGTCGTCCGACGTCAGGCGCTTAAAAAAAAGAACCGAATCTCAAAGCTCACTTCTTGGAATTTCGATTTACAATTTAGTTCTTCACTTTTTTCCGCTTTTTTGCTGTTTTCTGCTGCTGCTCCCGCTGCTATTGTTGTGCGGCTCCATTCACATTGTTGCTGCAATTTTTGCTGTTTTTCTGTGTGTGCAGCCTATTCTCATTCTCATTCTTTGCCCGCAATCAAATTCTCCAGCAGCACATACATATATATGTACATATGTGTTTGTATATGAGTGTGCTTTTTTTGCATACATATGTGCACTGTGGTCACTGAACTATTTGAACTACGGCCAAAGCTATCCGGCAGGCAGGCCACACAAGCAGAGTGAGAGAAAGAGCATCTGCTGTGGAAGCTGTTGAAGAGAAAATTTAATATGCACTCCAGCAAGTACCGCAATCTCTTTTGAGTCCATTCTAATGTGTTTCAGCCCACTGTCCCGCACTATGAATGAGTTTTGAGCTTCCCTTCCCTCTCTCACACTCATGCGGTCTTTCGCTCACACAACAAATGCGCTTTTTTAACTTGTTCAAAACCACTTTATGATTTCTGCGTCCTTTTTTCTCTTCTCGGTTGTTTTCCATAAAGATGATCCTCTTCCTGCAGCAGCAAAGCAACAAAAGCTCGCTCGAGAAGAGGAATTCATAAGAATGAAACCGTAGCTCATTTGGTTGGTTTCGGCTGACGAGCCTGCCGGAAATCATTCACGCGAACATATGACTGAATGCCCTGGGCACTGTGAATGATATCAGATTGTTCGCTTTGCTCGGCTCTTTGCTGTCCTTTGTTTCTGCATTCATATTTGCCTGCCATCCGTCCAAGAGGGGGGCTTTACAGCTGGAGGGGAGATCACAAGCACACACTTGCACTGGGGTATCCATGGGTGTCCCAGTCCACTCCCCATCCCCACCATACCCCTCTCCATAACGATCTGCGAGAGATGACTCCCGCAGGGCCCTGAGCGCATATGTAACTCGATTTTGCTTTAACTTTGCCGCAACCACTCTCATACACACACACACACACACACACTTCTGCTCACTCCACATAAGGATGGGAGCGAGCGCTTTGCTGCTCATTTAACGACGACATTGGCGTCTACGTCTGCAAAAACACAAAAGAGACACGCCTCCCCACCGCCCCACTGCGGCGGTCATGGCATGGGGATGATCATATGATCCCACTACCTGCTGATGGCTTGAAGAGGCCACCAGGAGTTGGGGAGGGGGGAAGGAATGCGTGGATCTCACATTATTACCTGCAAACGACACAATCGATGCCGCTGTCGCTGCCGCAGCCGAAGTCTTGAATTCTGCTTAAAGATTTACTCAATTCTTTTACTCTGCCTCCTTCGTTTGCTCTCTGCCGCTGCGGCCTCCTCCCCTCCCTGCCTCTGAAGTCCACAAACTACTGTGCCGCTGCGGCGCAAATCACATGTGTTTCGCATTCGGCTCCACTCGGGCCCCAATCGGACCCCATTCGGTTGCCGATGGGGTCGGTCTTCGCGTCCGGTATAAAAGCTAGCGCGCCAAAATCTGTGCCCTCCATAGTGCTGGCGACCATTGGCGCCTTCTCTCCTTCTTGCTGGTTCTCCTTTTCCAACGGTTTCGTTTCGTCGTGGTCTCGCGGAGAATGTAGGGGAAAGAACGTGAGTGAGTGCAAGCTACCTGTTGCACTGGGAGCGCTCCAACTGCACAGATTTGTCCATTATTTCCCCTTTGCACTCCGTTTCTACGCTCTTCGGTTGGGAAATGGAAAATTGTCCACTATATATCCATGTACATACATATGTATTGTTGCACATAGCTCCCGATCCTGCTCTGACCGCCGCACCGTTATACCCTACACCGCTTACTCTCTCAGAGAGCGCCGGGAGAGAAGAGGCAAGAGTGTTCTCCGTCCTCGTCTCCTTCTCTCTCAACGATAAGGAGGCAACAACAAAATAATAGTCCTCTCTCACGCACACGCACACCAGAGCACCGCTCAGCTGTGCATTCTCATTCTCTCATTCTACCCTGTTTGCTCCGATCGAGAGTGGGGGTTGCACCGGTCTTTATAAAAACCAGCTGCGCCGAGAAAATAAACACAATTTTTCTCTCAACCGCCGCCGTGATCACATCTCGAGCTCCCTGTGTGGAGAAACTATTGGATAAACATTAACCCACACACCCAACAACAACAAAAAATTTAAAAAACAGTTAACATGCTGAAACGGACACATTAAACAATCCCAAAAAAGTATTAATAAAATGCAATATTAGCTGTAAACTATAAACTATAACTAAACTAAAGGACTACAAAGTGCAAAAGCCGAAAGCAGTAGAACAAACTGTAAATGAAGAGTGAGAAGTGACAAATCGAAAGAAAATTGTGTTTTAGCAATTTTTGGAAGAGGAAGACCCGTTTAAGGGGAATTTAAACATCAATTCGAAAATCCAACAAAATTCATCAACAAAATGCTCTGGGAAACGATTGAGGAGGAAAGCAGCAGCAACAACTGCAGCATCAGCAGCCTGGATTGCAATATCAGGTAACTATCCAATATCCATGGACTAGGAATACCCAAAAAAAATCCACCCACCAACTTTGATCGGACATAAAAGTGAAAAGAATAGCAAGAACGAAAGGATAGAAAATGCAAGTTCAAGAACAGCAAAAAGCACAAAAAGGTCTTGGAACAGAAAGAACGGTGTAAAGTGGGAGGAAGACAAGAAAATCGCTTGACAACGCCGACTGCGGCGCCGCTTTACAGTTGAACAAAAGTAAGAGTTTTATTGCTCTTCTCTCTGCTGCTTATTTTTTGCACGCTCCACACCGTTTACTTTTTTCGGCCCAGCTGTGCTGTTGTTGTTCTTGATTTTATTGTTGCTTCTTTTCATTCATTAAACCGGCTTCCGCGAGGCGTGCGGAGGAGCCCCATGCTCCAAAAGCGGAAGAGAAACAACAACAAGAGAGTCAGTCGTCAGTCAGTCACTTTTTTTGTGTTGTTGCGGTTCTTTGTGCTGTTTTTTTGAATTCCCCTCGTTGCGTGACCCAAAGTCCAGGGGCAGCAGAGTGCAGAATGTGCATGGGAATAGGAGAGTGGGGCAGCAATTGCAGTGAAAACGAAAACAGCTCGAGCAGAACGGTAAACGTTCACATGTGTGTGTGTGCGTGCCAAAGGGGATTCCGCTCAGAGTTCCGCAAAAGTAGAAGAAGAAACAGAAGCGAAAGGAGGCAAAGAGCGCGACTAAATTTCTAATTTCGAATTCCAACTTACGAGAGTGAGAGGGGAGGGGGAGGAGCGCAACCCCTGCGAGCGTTTTTGTTGTGTTTACACACCACCACCACCACCACCGTCGCCGCCCGCCTGCGCTCCTCCTGCTGCTGGTATTTTTAGCTGCAGTTTAATGACCCGTTCCAGAATTTAGGGAAGAAACAGAAGACCCCTCAACCGCTCTCTCTCTCTGTCTGTCTCTCTAAATGCAGCTGACTAATTCCCGTTCTCTTTCTTGCGCTCTCTTTATAGCAATTCGAGCAACAAACACAACAGCCGTCGCGCCCGCCGCTCCCTGGCCTGCAGCGAAATGATGGCCATGGACGCGGAGGAGCTGTCCTTCTACGACGATGATGTCCTGCCCCAACAGCGCGTGGCAAGTCCGGAGCTGATGGGGCTGCTCTCGCCAGAGGGATCGCCCCAGCACTTCCAGATTGTGCGCCAGCAGAAAACGCTGCCAGCGACAACGGAAGAGAGCAGCACAGCCGCGACGCCAGCCCGCAGCTTCCGCGTCTTCAACAGCCTCTCGTCCACCTGCTCGATGGAGTCCAATATGGATGATGAGTACATGGAGCTGTTCGAGATGGAGTCACTGGCGGGACAGCAGCCCAGCTCCCTGGGCTTCCCCAGCGGCCTCAATTCGCTGATCAGCGGCCAGATCAAGGTGGCCTCCCCGGCCCGCCCCATCAGATCGCCAGCCCTGACGATGCGTCGCCCCTCGGTCCGACGCTGCCTCAGCATGACGGAGACGAATAGCAATCAGCTGCAGCAGCTCCAACCACAACCAAAGACGCCCGAAATTCTGAAAGAGACTGCCCGGGACTGCTTCAAGCGTCCCGAACCCCCTGCATCGGCCAGTTGCTCGCCCATCCAAAGCAAGCGCCACCGCTGTGCCGAGAAGGAGAACTGCCCCACACCCACCGCCACTGTCCCACACAGCCACAGTAGCACCACCACGACGGTGACCTCCCATCCCCCACCGCTGCGCAAGTGCATGTCGCTGAACGACGCCGAGATCATGTCCGCGATGGCCCGTTCCGAGAACCGCAACGAACCGGAGCTCATCGGGGACTTCAGCAAGACGTACGCCCTGCCACTGATGGAGGGACGCCACCGCGATCTCAAGTCCATCTCCAGCAACACGGTAGCCCGCCTGCTGCGCGGCGAGTTCGCGGGGGATGTGGCCAGCTACCGTATCATCGACTGCCGCTACCCGTACGAGTTCGAGGGCGGCCACATCGAGGGGGCCAAGAACCTGTACACCACCGAGCAGATCCTCGAGGAGTTCCTCTCCGTCGCACAGACTGAGCTGCAGCAGCAGCAGGCCTCCGAGGCCGGCCCCAAGCGCCACATCATCATCTTCCACTGCGAGTTCTCCTCGGAGCGGGGCCCCAAGATGTCGCGCTTCCTCCGCAATCTCGATCGGGAGCGCAATACCAATGCCTACCCGGCTCTCCACTATCCCGAGATCTACCTTCTGCACAACGGCTACAAGGAGTTCTTCGAGACGCACATTGAGCACTGCGAGCCGCACACCTACCGCCCCATGCTGGACCCCGCCTACAACGAGGCCTACCGCCACTTCAGGGCCAAGTCAAAGTCCTGGAACGGCGATGGCCTGGGCGGTGCCACTGGGCGTCTCAAGAAGTCCCGCTCCCGTCTTATGCTGTAAGGGGAGTCTCCGGAGTATGGCTTTGAGTCGTTATCAATTGGGTGTTATCTGGGTATTATATATAATAGAGATGGTCGGGTCGGTCATCGGGGGTATTTATTTCACACGCAGCATTTTAAGTTGATTTTTGTTGATTTTCATTTGTTAATCTATGGCTTAAGTTTAACCAGAACTCCCCCCTCTGTCACACACACACACACACACACCACGTCACTACCCCACACAACTTTCGATGTCACCCCTCATTTTTATTTAGTTGTCTATTGTTTTTTATGAATTCGGCTGTAGTTCAATTATTTGTAGTCCTTTAGTTCAAATTTTAACGTAAAGAGCGCCAAACGCCAAGAAAGAAGCAAAAGCTGAAAGAAACAAAAAAAATGTGCATTATAAGCTAACGAAAAGACGAAAGCGAGAAACTGTCACTAAAATTTAAGAGGCCGAAACAGAATATTTTAAATTGTACATGTCCTCCCCTCAGACCCCTTCATCATTTTTTAGATGATAAGCAGAAAACAAAATGGCTAAAAACAAACACACATCCACACACACGTTCATCAAGTACATAGACATCCATTTTTAAATGTTTAAGTATGATTATTTAAGAGTTAAAGTTGAAAACTTTGGCTAGGTACAATTTACGCTTATTATTTGTTTAATTTTAAATATACTTGCAAAACACGAAAACTGAACTGAAAATCACTGACTGGTATTTAATTTTTTTTGTATTTTTCTGGCGCCAAAAGCACCTAAAGGGCGGGAATAAGAGAGTCGTCGGTTTTGATGGTAATTTCTCATTTTGAATTTGGCGCGCAAATTAGTACTGGCACAGTACCGACACCTATATAAGTTTGGACAAATGAACACCAGAGGGCGAAGCAGTATAAAAGAAGTAGACAACCGTTTGAGATTCGTAGCATACTTCTGGGCGTAAACATCAAATGTTCAAATGTTCGTTGCCAGGACTTTGTTGTTGTTGCTTCCTCCAGGGTTTTCAGGAAGTTGTCTCGGAACTTTGGGCGAAAATCAACACTGAAACTGTGGGATTCCCTAACATGGATTTTGTGGTCGCGGAATACGGATCAAGGATCTCCATTCACCGCAGTGTTTACACTGCGTCCGACCACGGACCAGCAGCATCCAAAATCGAGTTCCGCTACTCCTAACTTCGGAACTGGGTTTTCCATATGTCTTACCACAAATTGATATATTTTTCGTAAACATTTATAATCTTAAGATCTAGTGAAACATTGTCACTCTATGAGGTGCTTTCAGGTATGAAAGCCTGGCCGCCTCGGAAAAATGGCTCATGTCTCTGGGCAACTGACTATTATAGATCGAAATGGCCCTTCGTCGCGACACCCTCGATATGATGCAGATGGCTTTGATCTGATCCTCCCAGATGAAGGTGGGGCACGTCCTGTCGAGTGTGTGATGTCTGGAGTGGGGCACCTTCCGCGTGCGACAATTGACGCAGGCCTGATTCCGACTGCACTTCTCGCCGATGTTCAGGTGCTGCGCATAGCCGCAATTCAAGCAGGCCGAAAGACTTTGACAGTCCCTGGTTGGGTGCCCGAAGAGCAAGCAATTCCTACAGCGCGTTGGAGTGGGCACATAAGGATGGAGTCGAATGATTTTGCCATTCAGTTGAATACTGGGCGGAGGATAGGTATCAAAGTGCAGTATTATCAAACCCGTCTCGTGCTTTTTGCTGGGCTGCTGCCTCCAGCGAGTGATCTTCCTGACGCTGATCACATTGTGCTCCTGCAGCTGCTGGAGTATCTCCGCCTCGGAGTGTTTCGCCAGGTCGTACGAGTGCATCACCGCCCGGCCGTGGTTGAGGCTGCGATGCTCCTTCACCTCCACATCGATGTTGTTGGGCAGGAAGCACACCTGCGGGAGTTTTGCGGCGCTCAGGTTGGCGGCCCAAGTCTTCACAAGCACCGTGCCGTTGCTCAGCTTCTGGCAGAAATCAACGGGGCCGCAGCAGATATTTTCAAGAGCATTACAAATGTGTTCTACCATCACATGTTGCAGTCCTATCCTGGAGTTCAATCGGGATACAGTGAGATATTTGGGAAACGGTATTCCGCTGCGAGCGGCCATTGTGCAACCTTCGAGTGTCCTGACGAAACTGTAGTGAGCTCTGGAGCAGCCTCGTATTTTACCTCAATCATTCGCCACATTGCAGCATTGATCTTATGACGCTTTTTACCTTTTGACTGGTGCAATTGGTGTAGGCGGTTATCCTCATTATACCCTTTCAGTGGGCATTGGTCGTACAGCGAGCACCCCCCAGGTTGTGACTCAGGTGTACCCTCTCTTCAGTATCAGAAGATGCACTTATCAGATGGATGTTTACGAATATATACTATATATTACGTGTAAGTCAATGGAACGATTTTCCTATAGCAAGTATTAACCATTATTAGGAGCTTGAAACTACAAAGATCTTCAACATTTTATCACACTGAAAATTCCACTTTTCTAGCCTTGCACTAAACACTGAAATGGAAACTGTTAGGGTGTTCAAAGCACCGACGACCCTTTCCACACTCTCCCTATCAAGTGCACATAAGCAGATTAGCATTTGATTTCCTTCCCGACACTCGAGTCGGTGTACAAGTGGCTCGCACGAGTGTACTATTAATTTGATTCCCTCGAAATTGTGGGATATGAATGTGGGCTTATGCCAATTAGTCGCCTTTCTATGAAGTGTCCTGTATCTGTGCTTCCGAGTCCCTCCCTGTTGGGGGTTCCCCATCACTTGTTTTGCCACTTTTCCTTTTTTGTTTGTGTGCGGTGTCCGCTTATCTGGGGGTCTGAGCTTCCGCCATGGGGGGTGGGCTCGACTCTAGGGTCGAGTGGCGGCTGAGGTGCTGCTGGAATACCAAATAGAAAGAAATGGGTTAATCAGCGCAATTAAGGTCAAAACCACGTCTCTGTCTCTGTTTCTGTCTCTATGTTTTTTTTTGTGTGTGCGCGTTTGCATAGAGATTCAAAATTGCGCATACGCCGGGTAAGCCCTGCCATTATTTTATTGCAAGCGTCCCGCTGCGACTCTCTGTGCGGAAACATATACTAACGCATCCCGTATATATGGATGGATGGATGGAGGGATGGATGCGTGTGGTTTCTCTATGATAAAGATTCTCGAAAAGCTTCCACGGCGCAACCTCTAAGCCGTCGACGTTTCAAGTCTCTCTCTTTCTCTCTCTTTAAATTTTCTCTGTAAATGTATTTGTGTTTCTCGTTCTGTATCTGTGTCTCGTTCTGCAACTGTGCGTGTGTGTGTGTGCTGGAGCTGTAACTGTGTGCGTAGCCCGTTGCCTGGCTATAAGACAAAAGCGCTGCGCTCAGAAAACTTTAGATTCGCGTCAACCGCCGACCGTCGAACAGGTCGCATTCGCCCCGTAATTCCTGCTGCTCGCTGTCACTGTCCGTACCCTCTGTGGCATCCAGCTCTGTGGCTGCTTTTGTGGCACCTCTGTTAACGGTTTGGTGCGTCTACATCTCAACAGCTTTTGTGTGTCAAGCACTGGCCTGGCCGGCCCTTCAGTCAAGTGCAGCCACAACAACAAAAAATAGCCCCCCAAATTCAAGAACAACTCATGAAACACGTACCGCGGACAACAACAACAAAAACACCAATAGTTTCGGGGCTTAAAAAACCAAAGTGATACAAAAGTGTGTTAAGAGACCGCATTCAAGAACAGAAATAGCCAGAACAAGTTTTATTTTGTGTGTCTGCCGTTGTGTCAAGTGCTGACAAGCATTTGAATTTTATCGCGAAAAGTGCGCCACTCGTTGTGCCAGAAATTGATTAACACTTGCCGGATAATTCGATATAGCCACCCGTAAACCAGTAAACAATGAGCAGATATGACCGGCACCGGTATCCCAGACCAGGGAATTCTGAAAATAGTATATCTACAGCAACTGCAGAACGCCCAGCCATAAACATGATACTCGTAGAGCACAATCTATGTACATATATTATTCTTAAAGCGGTGCCAATTAATTGGCGAGAAATCTGTGGAGAGAGCGTACTGTCCGAGTCCGGGTATATGGGGAAGTACGCCCTTAATGGCCCGGCGATGGGTTCAATTGATATGTCAATGCCATCGACCATCGACACGACATCGCGGCAGCACGTGTTTGACATTTACTGCTCTCTGCAACCGTTCATCAAACCATATGCGTTATCAGGAGGCTTCATGAAGTGTGAAAATCATTTAGCCACAACTTAACCAATTGGTTCTAGATAGTCTAACCGATTGGTTCTGTTTCAAAACCTTTTGTACAGGTACTCAAAGATAATTGGTGGTGGCCAATGAATATTTAGGTAGGATTCGGTAGGCATTAAGTTAATGATTTGGATTAAGGAATATTTGTAAGGCCTTTAAATACAATTCTCATTTCAAATTGATTTGGAAAAACATTTTGAATGGATCAAAAGTACATTTTTAAAGATTACCTGCGGCATGTTCTGATCCCAGCTTATCCCACAAAATCTTCCAAAGGCTTGGCCCCCCCCATTTGGCATCGGTTTCCATATGATGTTTATATGCTAATCATTCGGGTTCATTGACCGCACCCGCATTTACATAAATATATACATATGTATGCACTCGAAGAACTTGGAAAGCAGAAGCCAAAAAAAAAACAAAAACAACTTTTGCATAATTAAGAGCGACAGGGAGAAGAGTGGAATAAACCGAATCGGGGGGTGAGGGAGTTGCAATCTGGTTAATCCAGTCTAGAAAATATATGCATCTCCTTCTTCTCTTCCTCTTCGTTGGGTGGGTTCTGCTGAGAAAGAGCCTTGATCTGGAGAGGTACAGAGGGGAAGACAGAAACGAAAAAAAATGTAATACAAAGTTCATTTAAAGACACACCCAAATCAAGAAAATAAACAATATCTTCTATATATACTACTTTCATGGGTCTTTCTTCAGATTTGTACAATATATTATTTGTTTGATTATATTATTAGGGAAAATAGCATTAGTCTAATGGTTTTCCGTGCCTATCTGTATCAAAGAATGATATTATAATGAATTAGTAAAGAAACCTTCAAGTGTCACAAGAAGGTGTTGTAAGCTTTAGTTGTTTTTAAAACACCTAAATCTTTCCCGTTATAATCAATTATTTTGATGGACATTTATGGATTTTCCACATATAATTATCCAATTTTCAGTTTTACAAACGTACAGTTTGTAAAACTATTCGTTGTGATATTTATTAGTGACTGAGCTTACAGAAACAATTAGAGTTGGTGTCCGTCACAGGCAGACAGGCAGACGGTATACAAATCAAACAGGAGACGAGGGAACTCAGCTTCATAGCGACTGATATATATACACATGTTCTAAGGCGGGATCTTGATGAAATGATACAAGGTGGTCCGCTCCCACAACTCGCTCTCTTTTCGGGTCTTACTTCGATCATTGCAACAGCAAACTTCATTCTCTCTCTCTCATCACACATTAAAGCGCTTTCAGTAGTGCTCAGTAGGACCCGATAGAGAGTAAGCGTACCACCTTGCATAATATCATATGCACAAAGGCAAATAGAGAAGACAGTGCGTTTACATATTCAACAAAAACACTTCCAGAAGTTATACTATAGAGTTTTTATCGAAAGAAACAGCGAATACATATAATCCGAAATATTAGCAGCACTACAGGCTATGCATCAATTGATCGAACATCTGGCCATAAAGATAAGTAGTACCTACCGCTGGCAAGGGCATACATATGTACGTGTTTAAGTACCCGTATACCCAACCGAACAGTAGACTCCACAGAGCATAATGCGGATTGTGCTAGTATATGGAGGAGGAGAGTCGCCAATCGAGTTTCATTGGCCCAGACCTTAATACGTGTCCGGCATAATGAGCCGAGCCCCCCCGCACGGCACCGCGCCGCCCCACAACGCAACGCAACGAAAATATAATCGTAAAAGAAAACAAATTAAACAAAATGCGATTTGCATTAAATTGAAATAAAGCAATAAGCAAACACAGTAAATTACGAGTAAGAAAACAGAAAACAGTAACAAGTGATTACTCTCCGCTCCGCTCCGCTCCGCTCCGCTCCGTTCCGTTCGGTTTGATTTATTTAATGAATTTCCAAAGTGATTTAGTTAATTGATTTGCGAGTACTTGCACAGAAGCCCCCCGCTGACGAGTTCTCTTCTGCTCCGTCTCCTCTCCTCCATAGAGTCGGCCATGAAGTGGATTTTGCTGTTTATGGTGGCCCTTGGACTGGGCCTGGCCGCGGCCAGCACCAGCTCCAGCTATAGCTTTTATCGCCTGCCGACGGCAGTGCGGCCCCAGAAGTACCATCTGAAGATCCTGACCCATCTGGACAATCCGGAGGAGCTGCGTTTCGCTGGCACCGTCAGGATTCTGGTGGAGGCTCTGCAGAACACCAAGAACATAACGCTTCACTCCAAGAACCTCACCATAGACGAAAGCCAGATCACGCTCCGACAGATCAGCGGCGAGGAGAAGAAGGACAATTGTGTGTCCTCGACGGAGGTGAACCAGGATCATGACTTCTATGTCCTGAACACTTGCCAGGAGCTGCTGGCCGGCAATGTCTACGAGCTCTCGTTGCCCTTTGCCGCCGAACTGAACAAACAGCTGGAGGGCTACTACCGCAGCTCCTACAAGGATACCGACACCAACAAGACAAGGTAGGAGCAGGGATACCGGTGTAAACATGGGTAACTGATGGACTCTTATTTTCAGATGGCTCTCGATTACCCAATTCGAACCGGCCTCGGCTCGAGCGGCCTTCCCCTGCTTCGACGAGCCCGGCTACAAGGCTCCGTTTGTGGTTACCCTGGGATTCCACAAGCAGTACACGGGTCTCAGCAACATGCCGGCGAAGGAAACCAAGCCTCAGTGAGTCTCGATCGTCACAAGACTCCCTGCAAAGTACCAAATGCATTTATCTGCCTTACAGCGAATCGCTGGCCGACTACATTTGGGTCGAGTTCGATGAGTCGGTGCCCATGTCCACCTATCTGGTGGCCTACTCCGTCAATGACTTTGCGAACAAGCCCTCCACGCTCCCGAACAGCCCGCTCTTCCGCACCTGGGCCCGTCCGAACGCCATCGATCAGTGCAACTATGCGGCAGAGTTCGGTCCGAAGGTCCTGCAGTACTATGAGCAGTTCTTTGGGATCAAGTTCCCTCTGCCCAAGATCGATCAGATTGCCATTCCCGACTTCAATGCCGGGGCCATGGAGAACTGGGGCCTGGTCACCTACAGGGAGATCGCGTTGCTGTTCTCTCCGGAGCACACCTCGCTGGCGGACAAGCAGCGGCTGGCCAATGTGGTGGCCCATGAGCTGGCCCATCAGTGGTTCGGCAATCTGGTGACGATGAAGTGGTGGACGGATCTCTGGCTGAACGAGGGCTTTGCCACGTACATTGCCAGTCTGGGTGTGGAGAACATCAATCCCGAGTGGCGGTCCCTGGAGCAGGACTCGCTGTCTAATCTGCTGACCATCTTCCGAAAGGATGCCCTGGAGAGCAGTCACCCGATCTCGCGACCCATCGAAGTGGTCTCGGATATAGCCGAGAGTTTCGACCAGATCTCATACCAGAAGGGGTCGTCGGTGCTGCGCATGATGCACATGTTCCTCGGGGAGGAGTCCTTCCGCGCGGGTCTGCAGTCGTATCTGCAGATGTACTCTTACAAGAACGCCGAGCAGGACAATCTTTGGGAGTCGCTGACCCAAGCGGCGCACAAGTTCCGCGCCCTGCCCAAGAGCTACGACATCAAGAGCATCATGGACTCGTGGACCCTGCAAACAGGGTAAGGACTACGAAATCGAAACCCTTTTATTTATAATTCTTAAACCCCTGCGATCTTCCAGCTATCCCGTGATCAATGTTACTCGGGATTACGGCGGCAAGAGTGCCAAGCTCAGCCAGGAGCGCTATCTGCTCAACACTCAGATCTCGCGGGAACATCGCGGCGGCTGCTGGTGGGTGCCTCTCAGCTACACCACCCAGGGGGAGCAGGACTTCAACAACACGGCGCCCAAGGCCTGGATGGAGTGCGGCAAAACCGGCGAGAGTCTGTCCAAGACCATACAGGATCTGCCCGGTGCCGATCAGTGGGTGATCTTCAACACCCAGCTGTCGACGCTCTATAAAGTGAACTACGATTCGCACAACTGGAAGCTGCTGATCGAGACCCTCACCGAAGGCGATTTCGAGAGGATCCATGTGATCAACCGGGCCCAGCTGATCGACGATGCCTTGTACCTGGCCTGGACCGGCGAACAGGACTACGAGATCGCCATGCGACTGATCGAATATCTGCAGCGGGAGCGCGAGTATCTGCCCTGGAAGTCGGCCTTCGAGAATCTGAAACGTGTGAGCCGCATCTTGCGACAGACGCCAGAGTTTGAGTTCTTCAAGGTAAACTGAGATATTCCCGAGTCCCCTCTATAGTATGTTTATTGTGAATCCTGCACTCGGCCTAACCTCTGGCTCTCCATTCTCATTTGTATTTCGAAACGAAACTATCTTAAAATTGCTCTCACACACCCAACCAACAAACCAACCAACCAAACCTCCATCCACAAAACTCCACTCCACTGCCATTGGGGGCCAAACGAAAAGTTGTTTTTTGTCGTAAGTCTGGGCATGACGTAAGAACAAACAAGACTGAGAATATAGTCGTGTAATCCGACTATAAAATACCCGGTACTCGCATTGTTATACATATATATTCTGCTTATCCGAAAGATGTGATACTCGGCAGATCGTTAGATGAAAAATACAGCTGTAAATTGCATTTGGAAGCGTAACATGTACGAATACCGGGTATTAATGTGTTTCCTGGAGACCATATAACGCTTACTTAATATCCATTAACCGAAATAAACCCTCTCCGCTCCCGCAGCGTTACATTAAGAAGCTGGTTACACCGATCTACCTGCATTTGAACGGCCTCAACGACACATTCAGCGGCATACAGCAGCAGGATCAGATACTGCTCAAGACCATGGTCGCCAATTGGGCGTGCCAGTACCAGGTTGCCGACTGTGTGCCCCTTGCCCTGCAATACTACCGCAACTGGCGATCGGAGGCGGATCCGGACGAGAAGAACCCGGTGCCGCTCAATCTGAGGAACACCGTGTACTGCACCTCCATCAAATATGGCACGGATGCGGACTGGGAGTTCCTTTGGACGCGCTACAAGAAGTCGAATGTGGCTGCCGAGAAGCGTACCATTCTGACCTCCCTGGGCTGCTCGCGAGAGGTGTGGGTGCTGCAGCGCTATCTGGAAATGGCCTACGATCCCAACCAGGCCATACGCAAGCAGGACTCGATGTGGGCCTTCCAGGCGATCGCCTTCAACGAAGTGGGCTTCCTGCTGGCCAAGAAATACTTCATGGACAATGTGAACTTCCTCTACAAGTTGTAAGTCTTACGAATAGCCCATGCGGATGAGCATCATTTGCTAACACAGCCTTGAAAAACCTTGTTTATGTTTCAGCTACTATCCGATAACGAAGGATATGGGTCGTCTGTTGACGCCCTTCTCGGAGCAGGTCTTCACCCAGAGCGACTTCAATGAGTTCAGGAACTTTGTCCTGCTGTCACGAGACTCGCTCAAGGGCCTGGAGCAGGCCATTCAACAGACACTCGAGACGATGCTCACCAACGTGCAATGGAAGGAGCGCAACTACCACCAAATGTCGCGCTCCATTCAGAAGCTCCTCTAAGCCAGTGTCCGACTCCGGCCCAAGCCCAATGCAGTCCAGCTCTCATCAGCTCATTGACGAAGGAATCTCTTCAGCTAAGCAGGAATACGATATATACATTTAGAAATCCTCTAATAAACTATTTAATACTATCGTACAAGTATTATCCAAGTATATCCGCAATGAAGATTCCGTTCAATTTCTGTGTAGGGTATGCCTCCCCGGAGATGCCTGCTCGTTGCCTGATTGAGTAGGGGCCTGGTCGTTAAATTCCCTCTAATTGAAAGCTGGTTCAGATTCTGAACATGGGGTATAAAAGGCATAGTTTGGACCGACTTGGGCTTAGTTGATTTGTATCGAGTGCCAGTGAAATTTTGCAAGTGAATTCAAGTGAAGGATCATAAAGAAAGTTACAGCGAAATATATAAGGGATACAGTTATCATAAGAAATTATTTCAGGGACACAGTGCAAGGACCTCAAAGGACCTAAACGATAAAGACTCTACCGCGTGTAGAATATGGATGTGGATATGGTGCTTTAATTTGTGATTCGGATAAGGAATTATGCGGTGCAAGCAAAGGATAAACAAAGTATTCCGACACTCATATGGATTAGGACTTAGAAGACTCTTAGTTAAAATTTAAAGGGAAAACTCTTCGTATATCCTAGTCATGCCGGCACTTTTGTATTCTCTCATTTGTTGTGGATTGTTCTGTTTACCGCTATGCGGATCTGAATACACCTATCCCCGGCTGCCGAAATCGGTGAAACCCTTGAGCTACAACCTAACGGTTCTCACCCATCTGCATGGACCCAAGAAATTCACCTTCGAAGGCGAAGTCCACATTCAGTTCGTGACCCGAGTCGAAACAGACAATATAACGCTACATGTCGGAAATATTACGATCCACGAATCCAAAATTAAAATCATTGCTCTAGACGGCGATGACACCGCATTTGAGCTCGATGGAACCGGAGAAGTGCCGGAGAGACAATACTATATGTTGTACGTGAATGTGAAGTTTGTACCCGATGTGGTCTACGAGCTGAGAATGGCCTTCTCCGGCGATATAATTGAGGCCGGAGATGGCTACTACTGGAATAAGTACACGGACCGACAGAACGATACCAGGTACAGACTCTTTAAATGGTGCGTATAAAGACTACACCCATCAAGTGTCCTTGCAGATTTTTGACGGCCACTCAGTTCCAGCCAACCCTCGCGCGGGATGTGTTCCCCTGTTTCGATGAGCCCAGTCTGAAGGCGAATTTTACCATCATATTGGGTCACGACAAGGCCTATCACTCGCTCAGCAATATGCCCGTTAAAAAAATCACTCCACAGTAAGTTCTTTGGAAGGGGATCTTTGGAACTCTTTCTGGATATTACGAGAATTTTTCCGTACAGCCCTGAGCTGCACAAATACGTTTGGACTGAATTTGAGGAGACCGTTCCGATGCCCACCTACCTGGTGGCCTTCTCCGTGAACGACTTTGATCATACAACGACGATAAAGTCCGACAGCGGTGTGGAGTTTCGCTCCTGGGCCCGTCACGACACCAACGCCACGACCCTGGCTGCCATGATATATGGCAATGTTATGGGCTTCCAGGTTTTGCAGAGTCTGGAGAAACTGTTCGGGATCAACTACGCCCTGCCGAAGATGGATCAGATGGCCGTGCCCAACTATACGGGAGCGATGGAACACTGGGGCTTGGTCACCTACCAGGAATCGCGGATCTTCTGCACAGACGATACGACGGTCGCTGACCGACACGCAATTGCGGGGATGGTGGCCCATGAGATGGCCCATCAGTGGTTCGGTAATCTGGTGACGGCCAAGTGGTGGTCGGATGTGTGGCTCAACGAGGGGTTTGCCTCGTACCTTGGCTGCTATGTCCTGCAAGATCTGATGCCTAATCAAGATCCTTGCGAGCACACGATTGTCACGAGTCTGCGCACGATTTTCAGTGAGGATGCGAACAACAACTCGCAGAGTTTTTCGCGGTCCGTAATGGACGGCGATGAGATCAGCGCCACCTTCGACGAGTTCTCCTACGGGAAAGGTGGCATTGTCTTTCGAATGCTGCACCACTTTCTGGGCAGCGACGCATTCAAGGCGGGCATGCGTGACTATCTGAAGCGGTTCGCCTACGGCAACGCAGGCAAGAAGGATCTTTGGGAGGCTTTCACTCGGGCAGCGGAAGATCAACCTGAGCTGCCGGCCAACATCAGTGTGGCCACCATTATGAACTCGTGGACGAGGCAGCCGGGCTATCCGCTTATAAATGTCACCCGCAACTATGATACTGGCTCAGCGGATATCACGCAGCAGCGCTTCCTGCAGGATCAGCAGGAGGATACGCGGGAGGATTGCTGGTGGATACCACTCTCCTTCACAACGGCCAAGCGTTTGGACTTTATGAACACCGAACCTCGCCATTGGTTCCAGTGTCCGAGCGATTCAGATTCCGGTACGGATTCTGTTCCAGATGTATTGACCCTTCCATTGCACGTCTCGGCCAAGCAGTGGGTCATCTTCAATCTGCGCATTTCTGGCCTTTACAAAGTCAACTACGACAGGCAGAACTGGGAGCTTCTCGTTGACACCTTGAACAGCGAACACTTCAGCAAGATTCACGCCCTGAACCGGGCCCAGCTGGTCGACGATTCCCTCCTTCTGGCCTGGAGCGGGTACATCTCGTACGATGTGGCCCTGCCACTGGTGAGGTATCTGAGCCGGGAGCTGGACGCTGTGCCCTGGCTGATGGCCATGGCCAGTCTGCAGAAACTGACCAGCATCATGAGGCGCACAGCCCACTATCCCAGCTTCAGGGTAAGCATCGCGAGGAGACTGCGTCTTGTGAGTCGCCTCTACACACAGGTTCATTGCAGGGCTTTGCACAGCTGATAACGACACCCATCTACAAGCACCTTGGGGGACTCAAAGACAAGAGGGATCTGAGCCTCAAAAAGCAAATCCTCAAGGCACAGCTCGTTTCGTGGGCCTGTGCCCACAGGGTGGACCGCTGTATAAAGGATGCGATGGATTTATTTCTCCGCTGGCGATCGGCCAGCCTTCCGGACAAACACAATCCCATTCCCGTGGACCTCCGTCCTGCCGTCTACTGCACGGCCATTGCCGAGGGCGATGAAATAAATTGGTACTTCCTGTGGCGGCGCTACAACAGTCCCAGCAATCTGCAGCCGCGTGGCATGCTTCTGAGCGCCCTGGCCTGCACGCAGAGACCGTGGGTGGTGCTCAAGCTCTTGGATTTCATTATGCGACCGAGGGGCGTAATGCCCGATGAAGATGTTATTGCTGCCGTGGATTCGCTGACAAATCAGGACGTGGGCTTTCACATAGCCAAGGCCTATTTGATCGAACGTTTCACGGGAACCTTACCGTGAGTAACGAAAGCAGTGCAGCTCCATCAGAACTGTCTCCCAAGGTTATACTCCCAACAGCAAAAGCCGCAGGACCGTTGTGAATTTCACCCATCTGCTGATTGCCTTGACCCGAAAGATCCACACCGAGAGCGATGCGCGATACTTTTCCGGCTTGATTCGACTGCACATTCCGAACATCCAGTCGGAGGAAATGATGCATAGGCTCCGGCAGGCCGTGAGCACGATGGTGGGCAGCGTTAAATGGCGGGCACGCCATGCCAAGACTGCGGCCAGTGCACTCCGGAAGGCTATGAAGTACAAGGACACAGAGGAGGTGGTAAGAGTGGAGGAGTATGGGGGCTAGAAATGTACCGATACGAGCGCTACATATATGTAGATGTTGTATATTTCGTATATTTAGTTAAGCTAGAACATGCTAATCCATAATGAACATAAATATAACTGGAATTCCTTCCATAATCATACATACATGTGTGTGTGAGTGTGTGGTTGTGTGTGTGTTCGGAATCGGTTGATCCCGTTTGATCATCTGTGTTTAAAAGTTAATGTAAATGTTACATATTACAATGTACATAATTATTTGCTTTGTAAATGTTAATATCACTATAGCAGCGCTCTTGGAAAAAATAGAAGGAGAACCTAAACGGAAACTAGTAAGTAAAACTAGAAGTAAATCTAGAGACTAAGGATAATAATGCGAATGGAGAAACTAAATCTAATTACTCAGCCAGGCTCCGTTTTTCACATTCACAAAAGTTTTCCGATTTACTTTTGAATACAAATAAATTGGGTCGGCATCCCGTTTTCACATTCCGCAAGATTTATTCGTTTTCAAAACGAAAACATTTTCGTTGACGAAATGAAAAGTAAACGGCAATTTATACAACAAAACGAACCTTAATTGCAAAAGGAAAAAAATAGATGACTTATTGTTGCAAACAGCAAAAATATGTGAAAACTGGATAACCTTAAAACGAATCGTTTTGGCAGAAAAAGTAATCCGAAAAACGGAACCTGCCTGACTAAAAATATTGCATAAGTGTGTGTGCGTGTGTGTGTGGTGTGTGTGTGTGGTGTGTGTGTGTGGTGTGTGTGCTATTATTATTGGTATTTGTTATAATAATTATTAAATCTATTTATCAATGTTACAGTATGTGTCGTTTGTGTCTGTTGATGTAGTTCTTCTGTTTTTTGTTTTGTTTTGTTTCTTTTCATTATGAAAACATTTGTATAAACTATGCACTCAAATTTTATAACAATTCTCAGTTGTTCCATCTTGATGCTGTTTCTCTCGGATCCGATCAGAGATCCGTTCCATACTATATTCCTCTGGCTGCTTGCCGCTTGCTGCGTGTTCCTATGCGTTTAACAACTATTCAACACTTCGTATATATATGCATGCGGATCCGTGAACATATACATATATCCACTTAAATATATATGTATGTATATGCATATGTGTAGCTCATTGTTTACAATAAACCGTTCCATTTACTAGATGTATACTTGATGCTGTAATTATTACAGATTGATTTGCTGCCTGCCTGTCGGCTGCCTGCTTTGTTCTATGAGAATATCGGAGATTATTCCATATTACATACATATACATATATTATTATTATCATTATTATTATTATTATTATTACAACATTCGCTTTTAAAGACGCTATTGAATCAAAGGTTTCGTTTTTTATTATTATGTGTATTATTACTTTTGGGATTTAATTTATGCACGAGTATATCGAAAATGTTGTGTTGCGTGTTGCACGTTGCATGTTGCGTGTTGCTTCAGTTACATTCAGTGGTGAAGCAAAACAATTCTAGACCGCGTCCGTCCTCGGCGTTTAAATTCGTGTTCCGTTTACGCAGCATTTTGTTTGGAACATTTAAATAACACATCGATTGAATGCCAAATGAAATGCAAATGTTATGGCAAACAGAACGAAGAACTGATAACCGATAGCCCCACACTCTGTGGAAATGGAACGTATAACCCATTCCGATCCAGTCGAGAGTGAAGTGTGGAAACAGATTACTTTTACAGGGCATGCAAAGAGGGGCGTGGGGAGGCATCAGTCAAACCGCTGGTTAGTTATGTTAATGATAGTTATGCATGTAGATAAACGATAGATCTTAGTACGATTATATTGTTTAACAAACAGACTTCTTCTTCTTATTATATTACTCTAGAGACATCCACATCCACATCCGATCCAATCCTATCAGTATGCAATACATATGTATGCTTGTATATTAATGCTGCTGCTTCCAGGGCTTTCCCGAACACCCTCAAATCTTATGCGACCCTACACCGCTGCCGGACAGAGCCTCATTCGACCAGGAGCTTTGCGATGACGCAGATGGCGGTGGCGGCGTCGAGGAGGATGCTGTGCCCGAGGGCTTCGACGGCGGCTGCAGATCGAATCGTGCATAGAACAGCAAGTATGGTGTTATGGTTATCTTCCGTGATGGGGACAACAGCTCCTCGAACTCCCGCTGTGTCATCGCCTTGATTTTGTCGTCATCGCACATGTACCAAATCGGATCCGTGCCGCCGTGGGCATAGTTCGCCTTGACACCGCCACGTCCCGTACTGCCGTAGCCCGTGGGATAGTTGGGCACCACACTGCTGCTGTTGATGCCGCCGCTGCCTGCCGCCCCACTGCCACTTCCATGGCTGAGATTGCTATTGCTGCCGTTCTGCAGGGACTCCTCGCTGAAGTCACTACAGCTGGCCGAGTTGCTGTTGCCGGCGGTGGCGGCACTAGGTTGCTGGCTGCAGCACAGGCGCATGGCACAGCAGCTCACGCCGTGGCAGGTGGTGTTCATGCTGAGCTTGCCAATGCCATTGGTGATGTTCTTGCTGCTGATTCCATTCAGTTGCTTTACATTTTTGCTCATGTCCCCGCTGCTCGAGGCCTTGCTGCGTCCGAATTTCATTTTCTTCATCAGACTAGTGCCAGAGGAGGCCAGGACCAAGGCAGCCGCCGCCACGGGCGTGCTGGCCACGTGGCTGCTGCCATTGTTTGGCGCCGCACTCTCACTGGAAGCCGCCGCCTGCTGCGTCTGCGATCCCGACACTGTGTTCCGACGATCCTTTGGGCAGTTTATATAGTCACTGGGCAGATCCAGGAAGCACGTGTACGCAATGTAATGGCCCACTGTAAGGGTGGCGCCGACATGGGTTATCACACTGTACAGCTTGTACACGTGCAGCTTGTTGCCGTCGCTCAGCTCGCAGCACTTGGCGCAGAAGCACGGGAGTGTAAAGGCCGTGGGCACATACGTGCTCACCTTCTCCATGCCGCCCGAGAAACGATTCAGCTGAATGACCAGCAATCGAGGCAGCACTTCGTACGAGATGGACCGTATGGCCTCGGTGTAGCCGGTGCACTGATTGCAACTGTATTTGTTCTCACCCCGAAAGTACTCCTTTGTGATGCAAGAATTCTGAAAGAAGAACTTTGAAAATGAAGCCGATTCAATGGATTCTTTTGCTCGACTCTCTCACCTGAATGTAGGTGCTGGGCTTGTCCTGGAGGTCGGCATTGTCGTAGCCTGATATCGGCACAGGCACGGAGATGTCGAGCATGCCCTGCTTTTGCTTCGTGACCGTCTCACAGCTGAGACATTTGGTGGTCAGCACCACAGTGCCCTCAAAGTCGGCACTGAAGAAGTTCAGATGCAGATCCCGTATGCGGTCCTCCAATCGCATGTTGTTCTTCAGCGCACTGGCCGGGTTCATTTCATCGTCGCTCGAGTATTTTCCGGTCGACGCTGGCTGCGAAACGGTCGGTGTTGCTGCCGGGGCCGCAACGCTGCTGGCGCCGCTGAGATCAACTGTATTCAAATAGAAGAGACTGTTTGCAGTGGAATGCGCCGGTGCCGCGGTGAGACCACCCGCCGTCGGACTGTTGTCCTTCAGCGGTGACTGTATACGCGTCGATTTCGATGACTTGACCTCATCTTTTCTCTTTGATTTGCGTGAGAAGAAAGATGTTTTTGTCGTGGTTATTTGACTAGTGTTGCCATTGCCAGAGCTTGCCAGAGGCCCCGCGGTATCCGTACGCTCCTGGGCAGCCTCCGCAGAGTCCACCTCATCGGGATTGGCTATATAACTGAAGGGATAATGCATTTAATAATGCAACTCAAAAACTAAAACTAAAACTGAAAAATGAAGAGTGAACACTTACCCGTTTGCAATGACCTCGGGGCATTCGTCCACGGCCTTGATCAGAGCTTGGTTCGTTTCGCGAATACAGTTGAGAACGCACATGAGAAACTCGTGGGCGTCCTGCTGCTGGTTGCCCTCAAATGTGGAATTCACAACCTGTATGGCATGCAGCAGTGTGTCCGCATGGTAGGGCTCCGTCGAGTCGGCCATTTCGTTGCCATGCAGGCTGTTGTACAGCTCGTGCAGCTTCTCCGTGACCGACTGATAGGTTTCCTTGATCGAGCTGGTGCTGGTGCTGCTGCCACTGACCCCGCCACTGCTGCTGCCATTGGTGCTGCTGTTGTACTGCTCTGAGGTGGCCAGATCCTTGCTGCTCCAGCTGCGTGCATGCTCCAGCTGCGTGGCACTCACGTTCCGCCCCAGCGAGGCCGACTTGGCGGTCTTCTGGCGCACTATAATCTGCTGCACCACGTTCAAGTCGTGGATCAGATGGTGCAGGTTGTGCAGAAAGAGTGGAGCAAAGCGTAGCGTGTACACTACCGAGTTCAAGTAGCATGTGTTGCCAATGTTGCAGAGGGTGCCCATTGAAGGAGCATGGTTGAGAGCGGCTCCACTGCCATTTAGGCCCGCCCCGGCGCCCGTTGGATTGCTGCCCCCCGAAGATCCATAATACGGATGGACCTGCAACTCCTGCGGCTCAATGTCACTCGAAGTGGCCGCACTGCCTGTCCGTAATCCGTTGCCGCCATACCCGTTCGGCACGCGCCGCTCATCGGCGGTGCTCTGGAATCGACGGTCGTACAACGACATGGTGGTGTTCCTCTTACGTTTGGCACGTGATGATGGCTTCCCTGACGAATCGAGCTCAAGTTGTGCCGCCGCAATAGCGGCCGCTGTTTCCGGGGCGTAGTTTTCACCGAGCTCGTTCAGTAGCCTGCCGCGTCGCGTGCGATTACGTCCACCGGCAACGCGTCGCTTCTTGCCGACGAATTTAAATTCCTCTTCTTCAATCAAATTCCAGAACGCCGGATTAAATTGCTCTGAAATGGTAGATCTCCCTTCAGATCGAGAACCGATTGAGGACTGGAAGTGGAAGTGTGAAACCCACCTGGTTTGATGTACTCTGTGGATTCTGTGGGCGTCGGTGAGGCGACCTGTGTTGGCGGTGGCGTTGGTGTTGTCGGCACCTGCTTCGACCCCGCCTCGGTTGTGTCTTTCGACTCTTGTCTCGATCGCAGGCAGCGGGATGTGTCCGCGATATAAACACGACGCTGACGCTTTCGTTTGGGAGTTAGCGGCAATAGCTCGTCCCTATCTGGACCCACTACAGACGACGGCTCATCTACCGCTTGATCGACGACTTTATCGGCAACTTCGAATATAGCAGGATATAGGGCTACGAGCGGTAATGTGGGGGAAAGCCTTTCCGGCCTGGTTGTATCACCTGTGTCTGGATTAGCTGTCGTGGAAGAATCAACCTGCTCGGCTATTTGCGGTTCCTCGATAGCCACCTGTGGTTGCTGCTGATCCGTGACCGTGACCGACTCACTGGAAATTTGGAGTTCGCTGCTGTCGTTGCAGCTTGTGTTTTTGTTGTTTGTGTCGTTGCTTGTAGGTGGAAGACTGGCTGGTTCCTCTTGACGCTCGTTTAAGTCATTTTCTTGCATTTTTTCATCCTACTGCAAGGACCAATAAATGGCATTAGTAACACACATCTCAAGGCCGCAAACAAGAGGTAAAGGTGGAAGGTAAGGGTAATGTGAACCATGCGGTATGAGCAATGCTACGCGAATGCGAATGCCACAGGTTCAAACGTTTTTCAAGTGTTTGTCATCGACAGTTACCACACACTTTTTGTTGTTGCCTGATAAGTCCTTCTCTACCACACACGATAAGAATCTGTTTGATAATTAATCATTGTTCTACGCCTACTGACGCGATGCGACGAGCAGTGAGTCATAGCCCCTGTAGTTCGACAGGAGAGAAGGAGTATATTTGCTGGTCAGGAAAACCTGACTCCATCGTACAATTGGATCTCTCAGAGATATGGATGGATTAGAAAGCTCAATCAGAAGCTTTTTTGGCTACAGGGCCTTGAGCTTCGGTCAGCTGCTGCTGGTACGCCTCATCTGATCACATGCGTTATCAATTGATGTCATAATCCCCCGCCGCCCACTCATTATGGCAGTAACTCTATTGATTGTCCACAAGTGAATATATAAATATATATGCTACCATGAACTTGACAAAAAGTATAATGTAGAAACCAAAAATTCAGGGGGTGGAAAGCCGTTTCACCGGTGCGATGGGGTGGGCGGGCGTGCGGTCGGTTGCTTTATGCTTTGGTGGGGCAGGCTCTCCGGCTCTGGTCTCGGTCTCGGTCTCTGTCTCTGGCTCAGGGTCTAGTGAATGCAACGTGAACGTAAACGATATTACTATTGATTTTGTAGCTGCTGGAATGAAGGTCACACGTCCCACAAAAAAAAAGAGAACACGGCAAACTAAAATCTGTATGCGCCCACAGCGGACCCACGAAAAGCTCTGCTCCCCCACACACATGCATAAAAAACGAAAGCCCACAAATCGAGAGCAACAACAACAGTTGGGACGGTAAACAGTTAAAATTATGTAGATAATTTATGCACGGCATGCTTCAAGGACTTGATAAATTATTCTGTTTTTCTGTGTTTTTCTTCTTGTCCTTCTCGTGAAACTCACATAATTGGAAGAGCAACATTTGAAGGCAATTGGCGATAAACAGTGCTGCTGCGGCTCAGGGTAAAGTAATTAAAACGCCGCCGAGCAAATGCGAAATTTAAAGAAATTTTGTGTTTGCAACGTAAGACACGCACACACACACACACACACTTACACACACGCGTCAACACGGGCTCTTGTACTCGCTGAGAAGTCTGATTTTGCTCCCACTCTTCTTCTTCTGCTCAACACCACTTTTCACTTTTTTCCACTGCAGCGGCCCCGTACGCCTCGCCGCTCTTGTGCTATCACCACGCCACTCGTATAAGTATATCAGTAGCGGTCGAAATTTGCATCGCCGCAAGAAGCTGTTTTTTAAATTTAATTGTGTGCTGAACGAAATTGTTTTTTATGTTCGTGTAAAATTATGCGCCGTAGTGGACGACTAGGGATGTGAAGTGACATCGATGAGCATACAGCTATCGATTGCCCGCCGTTAACTTGGCTAAAAAGCCGCTACAAAACTAAATTAAAACCAAAACATGCTTGCCACACAGTTGAAATGACTGTATAATATCACGGCTAGGTCGAATAAAAGTTGCAAAACGGCGAAGCTCCGGCAGAAATTGCAGTTATTTATTAATCGATAGCATAATGGAAAACCGATGGCCCCCCAACCAGTGGGTATTTAAATATACGCACGAATATTATGAAACTGGTGATGAGAGGATGGATTTACAAGAGGAATTGCAAACAATATTATTTTCCGCGGCTGAACTCAAGTTGTTAACCAGAAGGTGAAGAGGAAGGCGAAGTGGGCTAGGTTCGGTTTTTCATCATACGAGACGCTATATTGTTGTTGCGGAGCAAAAACAGCAATCGCCGTAGCAAGAAACCAAGTCAAATATTCAAAACGAACCAGCCAAGTAGAAAATCGATTCATTAATCGGATAAAATTATGTCGACAGGGCTGAGAGATCTAGATAGCTAGTAATATTCGACGGAATATCAAAAACAAGGAATATAGAACTTCAATTCGTCAGTATATTTCCGGTATACTTTTAAAGTGAGACGGTATATTTTGGTATATTTCTGAGGCTCATACGATATATTTGGTCGACTAATGGGTCGCACTGGGCACACTTCTCTCCGGCAGAAATCACGATGTCGACTGGTGTAAGTAAAAAAAACGCCGCAAAAATTTGCAAAATACAAAGCAATCATGCGGCTATAATTGCAAATTGAATGCTGAACGCGTGCCCAATGGGTCGAAGCACTGGTTACTAATGTTATTTCGTTTTGGATTTGGCTAATTGCAGACACTTTACACTTACCCCGAGAACTTCCGCGCGTACAAGGCGCTGATTGCCGCCCAGTACTCTGGCGCAAAGGTGAAAGTGGCCGATAACTTCAAGTTTGGTGAAACCAACAAATCGGCAGAATTTCTGAAGAAATTCCCCAGCGGCAAGGTAATTGCACATATATGATTTGCATGGGAAAACATGGACAAATCCCTTATCGCTTTTGGGTGTGTTCGCTTGTGGGTGGTCTGTCGAGCCGGCATGCTACGTCATCAACATTTTTGCTGCTATACTAATTTGTGCCGCGTGTCTTTTTGCAGGTGCCAGCATTTGAGACCGCTGATGGCAAATACCTGAGCGAATCGAATGCCATTGCTTACTTCTTGGCCAGCGAGCAACTGCGAGGTGGCAAGTGCCCCTTCGTCCAGGCCCAAGTTCAGCAATGGATCTCGTTTGCTGACAACGAAATCGTGCCTGCCTCCTGCGCACTGGTGTTCCCCCTGCTAGGAATCTTGCCACAGCAGAGGAACTCCACTGCCAAGCAGGACGTGGAAGGTGTCCTGGCACAGCTCAACCAGAAACTGCTCAATGTCACCTACCTCGCCGGCGAGCGCATCACCCTTGCCGACATCATTGTTTTCAGCAGCCTGTTGCATCTGTACGAGTACGTCCTGGAGCCGACTGCACGCGCCGAGTTCGGTAATGTGAACCGTTGGTTCCTCACCATCCTGAACCAGCCACAGGTCCAGGCTGTGGTCAAGGACTACAAGCTGTGCGAGAAGGCCTTGGTCTTCGACCCCAAGAAGTACGCCGAATTCCAGGCCAAGCAAGGCGGTGGCAAGCCCCAGCAGCAGCAGAAGCCAAAGGAAGAGAAGAAGCCCAAGGAGAAGAAGGAGGCTGCGCCCAAGAAGGCCGCCGAACCCGAGGAGTTGGATGCCGCCGATGAGGCCTTGGCTCTGGAGCCAAAATCCAAGGATCCCTTCGATGCCTTGCCCAAGGGCACCTTCAACTTTGACGACTTCAAGCGCGTCTACTCCAACGAGGAGGAGGCCAAGTCCATCCCGTACTTCTTCGAGAAGTTCGACCCCGAGAACTACTCGATCTGGTTCGGAGAATACAAGTACAGCGAGGAGCTGTCCAAGGTGTTCATGTCGTGCAATCTCATCACTGGCATGTTCCAGCGCCTCGACAAGATGCGCAAGCAGGCCTTCGCCTCCGTGTGCCTCTTCGGTGACGACAACAACAGCACCATCTCCGGTGTGTGGGTCTGGCGCGGACAGGAACTGGCCTTCCCCCTGTCGCCCGACTGGCAGATAGACTACGAGGTCTACGACTGGAAGAAATTGGATGCCAAGAGCGAGGAAACCAAGAAGCTCGTCACCCAGTACTTCTCCTGGTCCGGCACCGACAAGGGTGGCCGCAAATTCAACCAGGGCAAGATTTTCAAATAAGCATAAAAACCCCAACACCAACAGCCACACAGCAGCAACAATAAAATTTGAGATTCAAAATGCAGCAAAAGCACGATGCCTATTCCTTAAGTTCCAACTGATAGTATCATAATGAGACGGTCGTCTGTGGTCGTGCTGTGTCCTGGTCTGGTATTTAGTTGTTTCGCCTTCTGAAGAAGAATCGTTTTTGTATCGCCCATACTTTATATATATCATGATATTGTCCACAAAACCAGCCTGCAGCCAGAAATATAATTTATATAAAGAATAAAGTTTTCTATAAACAACACATCCCTTCACACTTCATTTAATATCTGATTAGGCAACTTTTATTGGCTTCTGATTAGATTTGATCCAATACCAAGGTTTGCTTACGATTAAAAAAGGCTCGACAGGGGGCTTGAAATTTTTAAGCAAAAGACTCGCCCCCTTGAAGGGCGAAAATTTCAACAAGGAAATGCTAAACGTGAACGTAACGTAACGTATCGATGCACCGCTGGAATTACTTCTTCTTCACCACAACCGGTCCCACGTTGTCGCCCGTCTGCTTGTTGTGCTCGCCATGGCTGCCATCGCAGTAGGGCCACTGCGGGAGAAAGGATCACATCACCGATCATGTTTTGAGACAGACAGACAAAGAGAAGAGCTTACGTTCTTGGTTTTCCAGCACCGGCAGAAAGCGGCCTGGCCTGCAATGTCCTCCACATCAACCATGGTAACCACTTTGGCTTCATTTTTGCGAATCGAGCTGTTGCAGCGTCCCGAATCCTTGCCAGCGCATCGCGCGGCCGGGCAGAAGGCAAGATAAGTGGTGTATCCAAGGCCGGCCACCACAACCGTGGGTGGAATGAGGGCGAGCCAATCCTTGACTGAAAATGGCAGAATTTAGGAGCATTAAGCAGGTTTATTTTAAGAAACAGATCTGATCTAGACGTTAGACCGTCGCCCATCTCCCCGCCAGCATCGGTGAGCTGTAGCCTTGGCACGAAAGAGATACCCTCTACACATAACTGTAAGTGTGTGTTTGATGGAGCGGCACAGCCCACAGGTACCGTACATTTTCTTTTATCTAAATTCACTTCCCCCTATCGTTCAGCAGATAAACCGAAGCCAATTAAAAATTGCGTGTTTCCAACACACAACCACAGCGGCAGAATGGCGAGGAGCTCAACAAACGTTGCATAATAGGTGCAGTCGGGGGTGGTCTACTGTAAATACTGTCACTGGAACAAGTGCATTCACTGCAATCTTATTAATCTGCACATCTCGCGTTGAACACCACGCGCTCTGCTGACAATCTTTAACTCAACAATATCATAGCCCTTGATGCTGTGTCATCGTTGGTGGTTAATGTAGGTCGCCCTTGCAGGCAAATTCCAATTGAATCGAACGTTCACTTTTCTCATAACTTACAAGATAGCTTGAACCAGCCCCCAAAGCTATCGGGAATTGGCAAACTGGACAGGTAGTTGGGCAATGAACTTTTAACTACGTGTGATATAGGCTCCATAATCGAGAGTTTCTTCTATATTTTCTTTTCTAGACTGCTTGTCTGAAGACCTGTTTTTGTTGTTGTTCTTGTTGTTTCAAATGGCGCCTGCGATACAGTAAAGTGCGATGATTTTAAATTCAATCGATAGTTGCACAATGTTCTCTTGCTGTGTACTAGAGCTGTCAAACCATCGATAGTAGCAACTGGCACAAAACATCGATAGTGCCATCTCCACCTCCAGTGTAAATTGAATACAAAAAACAAATATCTTTAATTTTTTAAATGTCGGCCGGGGTACAAGAACGTTTGCAAATGAGCCGAATGCCTCTGGATACGTGGACCAAGCGAGAGCATCTGTGCCTGGCGTCGTCGGTTTCCTGCAGCGGCGATCAGAACTGGATAACAGTCAGCCGCACGCTGAAAACAGTCTGCGGCAATGGCAACAGCAACAACAACAACAGACCGGCAGATTGGTACTCGCAGAAGAATTGTGCCCTGCAGTACGGAAACCTGCTGGAGAGCGTGGAGGCCACCAAACGCAAGAAGCGCAGCAGCGAGAGCAGCGCCGGGGTCTCCTCCCCGGCCTCGGTGGAGACGCCAACAGAGCTGCTGCTCCGCCGGCTCACGGAGGAGCGGATGCTGGAGATAAAAGCGCAGATGCGCTCCGACCAGGAAATGTACCTCAAGATACAGCGCGAGATCGATTCGTTGCAGTCGGACGAGGTGAGCGAGCAGGAGATGCAGGACATGTGGCTGGCAATCGAGAAGGAGCAGGACACGAAGCGCATTGAGGAGATGAAATTGGAGAACCAAATGCGCGAGCGGGAGCAGCGCAAAAAGGAGATGACGGCAAGCTGGCGCAACAGCAGTCCTGCCGCCCGACGATCCATTCAGACAACAGACACAACCTCCGTCGACATGGACGTGGAGGATATCAGCAGCGGTGGCAACAAGCAGCAGTCCGGGCCGTCACCACTGCTTACATCCCTACTGAAGTCGCCCACAAGCAGCAGTCCAGCTCCTCCTTCGACCCCCGTGGCTCCTGGCAGTAGTGTGGCCAGAGCCACGGCTCCCACAATAACTTCGCTGCTGACCAGCGGGGCCAGCACCGTGTCCAGCCAGCCAGCCATCACCATGAAGAGCCCCACCGACGCGGCATTCATGTCACGCCCCATGACCGGGCCACCAGCGAGTGAGGCCCTCACACCCACCACTCCCACCCTGGAGCGCAGTCCCTCGCAGGCGGCTCCCACGCTCTCAATGCTGCTGGAAAAGAACAAGGCGGCTGTAAAGTCTGGTGAGGCTGGCGGCAGCTCGGAGAAATCTGAGAGCACAGCGAGCCAGGAACAGCCGTTGCTGGATGACGCAGAGTCCGCCTTGGTCGATCCCGATGAAGCCGACCAGCTGCTAGAAGGGCTCTCAAACATCGACGAAATAATCGACGACATTGACATTGACATGGCCAGCGTCATCGATGATGAGATTTTAAAGGAGGTAGATGAGGCGATTGCCTCTCCCGTTGCCGATAAATCGGATGGAATTGACTTCGAGGACAAGCTGGACGCGCTAAAGCGGGAACAGACCGGGACCACGCCCACCGAGGAAGCTGCCAAGCCTGTAGAAGTGGTGATTGCCTCTAGTGATGACTCCAACGATAACATACCACTGGCGGCAGTTGCATCGCAGGACAACAGCAAGGACCGCACTCTAACGGCCTCCGAAGGCAATGCAACCCCGGAGGATGCGAACCGTTTGGCCAGCGAGGTGGCTGTAGAAGAGATCGGTGAGACAATAACACTTATCAGCACTTCCAGCGAGGATACGGCAGGCTCTCCGCCAACTATGGCTAAGCCTGAGGAGGACTTGGTCGCCGAATCGGTCCCAAAGGACGAGGAAGAGAAAGCCACAGAAGATGCGACCATTGAAGCTGTTGGCGAAGCCGTGGACACAGTAAAAGCAACAGAGGAGCCGGAAATTAGTCCTGAACCAGCAGCGACAGCAGAAGAAGCCACAGCAAACAAGGAAGATGCCGACAAGCAGCAGACGCTGGAGGAAAAGACTGCCACCCCCACTGCAACCGTGGCTGTCTCCCTGCACGACACAGACGAGGAGACATCTTCGTTGACGGACAGCAGCAAGCAGGATGACCCGCCACGCAGTGTCAGATCGAAGCAGCAGTCCGTCAAGCAACCGGCCACTGAAGAGTCGAAAGCCGACCAGGAACAAGCTGGAACTCCCCAGCCCCCGTCGGCACCGGCTCGAGCACCGCTTCTGCGCAAGCTGCCCCATCGAGATCGCTCCGAGAGTCCCATGGTTGACGACGATACCACAACAGCCAGCGACCATTCGACGGCTAGATCGAGCACGCGGCGCCGATGTTCATCGACGCCAGTCATCGACAGTATACCCAATTCGCCGGCCTCCAGCGAGCACACCGACGAGAAGCGCGAGACCCGAGCCGCCACCAAGAAGCTATTTCTCTCCATCTACGCGACGCTGCAGGAGAGCAAGCACGCAGCTCCCTTCCGGCGGCCCTTCCACGACGAGCACGCCCAGCGCCATGCGGAGATCTGTCTGCGTCACATGGACCTGCCCACCATCAAGCGGAACATCGACTCTGGCCTGATACGTAGCCTGAACGAGCTGCATCGCGACGTGCTGCTCATGGCCCACAACGTCCTGCTGGCCTACAAGCCCCACACCACGCAGCACAAGACGGCGCGTCTGTTTTTGGAGGATGTCCAGGCGCTGAAGGAGTTCTCGGTGGGGCACGAGACTGCATCGAACAGCACTGGTAGCACCTCCACTCCGGCTGCCAACGCCAGCGGGCCCAGCGGCAGCAGCAGCAGCACCACCACCAGAGCCGAGAGGCCGCACGGCAGCAAGGCACGGAGCGGCTTCAGGAAGAGCCAAAGGCATCATTAGGCATAGCACAAAAGATTCCTCATCAGATAGTATTCCATATCGAGTGCATAACTACACATTTTGGTAACATTTTTATATATTCATTGTTCGTTCCATCAACAATAAAGCCTAACATTTAACTAATCGAAGAATATTAAATTTTGCAAGCGTCGCGATCGGGATGAGTGGCAAATGGACCTTCGCTTGGGACAGTAGTACTTCTTGAGGCATCGCGAGAGCCGCAGATCGCACTGGCAGAGACGGGCCGCACAGGAGTCGGGACCCCCCCACTCGCCGTGATCGACGGCACAAAGGGGCTTGCCCCGATAGCACTTCCACACGTACGGGACAAAGTACTCCAAGTAGGAGATGCAGTTGCTCTGGCCGTAGCACTTGTCGTGGAGGCGACAGCATCGATCGATGCCATCGGCGGGCACCCCATGGCCACCGAAGCCACAGTAGCAGCCGTATCCCTTGTATATCAGCGGATCGCAGCCCGTCGAGCACTTGATCATGGAGTACAGCTTGGCCACATCCCGTTTGCCGCGATCCGCGCCCATTTTTTGCTCTTCCAAAGGCTCTGGGTCTGGACCCGGCTTCTGGCTGCTGGCATTGTTAAACGTCCACTTCATGGAGTAGCCAAAGGGATCGTTCACCCGCGCAATATACACGTTCTGTCCGTTCATCAGATCCTCCATCTCTGCAGGCCTACCACTTGTGGCAGCTATGACCCGTATGTCGGTCACGCGGCCATCGAAGTGCTTGTTCTTCAGATCCAGGAGTATCTCATCGCGCGGATATGTATTCTGCCAGCTAATCGCTGGATGAGTGTCCCTGGAGAGAGTTATTAAAAGGATTGCAGATACAGATACATATGTATATCACAGATTCTTTTAGCAGCGTCTAAGGAAATGTGTACTCACTTGTGGCTCTGCTCCAGCCAGGGAAGCGGAGGCTTCAGTTCGCCCGACCATCCTTCCAGGCCCATTTGCTGCCATTCGGCGTGGGGCGAGGTCACCAGGCTGGTCTTCACATTCGTTTCCGGCGGCTCAGCTGTCAAGGGAGCCGTGCTGGTCGTGGCTGATACTTCGGTGATATTGGGAAAGATTGGCTCCGCAAAATCCGAACGCTGCATGGTGAGCAGTTCGTAGCCATCACCGCTGCCACGAGTGGGCATTCTGAAGACAAAGGTGGGATTCGCGCTGCGCATACTTGAACCGTACATTTCCGGTATAATGTGGTCCAGCAGCTCGGTGTCGTTGGTGACGCCCCTGAAGGCGTTCCTAATGTCATCCATTACCGTGACATTTGCCACAACTCCGCGATAATTGAGCAGCATGGGCAGCAGCGACAGCGCCGCCGGCGATACCAATAATATCCACAACATGTTGTCCAGGAACTGGAGTCGAATTCGCGTTACGAACAAAATGATTTTTTTTGCGCATGCGCCACCGACCGCGAACCGCACGAGTCGAGCTCCAATCAAAAATTGAAGCTGCCTGCCCCGGTCGGCGAAATGCGGTAGTCGGACAATTCAACTGTCCGCGGCTAAGTACTCCACCCAGCCGGACAGACAGACGATCAGACGGGCAGACGGACAACAACAATACGAGTCGAGTACATAGAAAAACTCAAATACAGACTGTTCAAAATCGTGTTAATGGCAAAAAGAAGCTGAAAACAAATACTTCGGCGGCGCTTTGCCGAGCGACGGATTTGGTGCACATTGGCTATAAATACGAATCGATGTGGAGGAAAGCACAACCACAATTCGGTGGCACAAATTCGAACACCAACCCCATTTTGGGTGGTCAAGTTACCCACATTCACAGTACGATCTTAACGGGCCGAGAAACAGGCCAGACCGAGCCAGAGCCAGAGCCGACCTCCCCCAAGTTAAGGCGAAGGTTGGGCCCGCACTTCGATGCAGTCGTCATAAGCAGTTCATGGTCAACTTTTAGGGGGGGGCCTTAATTGTTACAGTTTCTGCGAGTGGGGCACGGGACAGTGGGGCAGGAAGGGGAGGGTGGCTGCTGCGTGACTTGCTGCTTTCCCAGCTCTGCTGCGAAATTGTGTGCAAAACAAAAACCGACAAGTGCTCGGCTCGTAAAGATTATATGGTCAACTCTGCTGGTGGTTGTGTCTGTCCATTGCACACATGTAATTTATTGTGGCCGAGTGCGTCTGTGGCTGCCTCCGCTGCGCTCCGCCTTAGTGTTACGTTAGTCGGCTTGTTGCGCGCAAAAGGAAAAGCTCTCCACCCAAAATGATCAAGCCTATTGCACTTGTAATCGCCAAGCCTCTATTCAAGGCAAGTGGGAGTACAAACTCGTATTAAGCATTTAATTTATGATCCAGTTGCGATTAAGTATCTTGTTGATCAAATGGTTCGCAACTACTGTAATCAAGTAGTAGCCCAGGCAATTGATCATCTCATTTATATTTATGAGTGCTCATTACTAATTAAACTATCACGTTCGGAGCTCTTTAAAGGAGATCTTAATATTCAAAACGTGGTTATTCACCTTTAACCTAAATTCAAATTCAAATTGTGGCTATTCAACATAGTTTACGCGCCGTGTGAATGGCAAGATCTGATCGAGGTGAAAATAAAGTTATCGAAACGATCGCTGGTTATCGACAGTGTTGTAAAACAACAGCTTCGCGTTTAACAGCTCATTTTGTGTTTTCGCGCGTAACATCTACTTTTGTGCATATCTGCTGCTGACACACATAATAATTTAAAATCTTGTCTAGCAACCGCCAAACTTTTCGCATTTTGTTGATTGCCGTTTTGATTTTCAGAATCAGAAGCAGTGTAATATTTAGTCATTGACATGTCGTCCGAGCTTCAGAGCTATTTCTGAGGCCAATTGCAGCTGCAATATTGAATAATCTTCGCCCAAAGCATGGGGCGCGTTGTTTACATAGGTATCCCTATATCCCTGCCCATGCCAACCAATTGTTTCCTTTCAAAAAGTATAAATCAAAGACAAAGCGCTCTTAGGAAGTGCATACAAACATCTTGTATTTTGATTTAATAAATGTGATTATCTTTTCTTTTCCGTCCGTCCGGGCCGTTGGTCAGAACAGTGGAGTGCCGATTGCAAAGTGCATCAGCGTCGGCAGCCCAGCCGCATCCTCCGCTGGTAAACGGAAATGCCGCGCATTGGGATTGGGGCAAACATTTTTCCAGCTGCTTCTGCTGTTGCTGTCGGCATCGACATCGACATCGACTAGAGTTCAAGTTGTTCGCGCATCTCTTCTCCGTTCTGCATTGCTTTAATCGCTGCATTGTCATCTTTGCTGACTACGGGTATGTATCCCCCCTTCCCCCCTGCTGCTGGGGCTCCTTCCTTTTCCCAATCATCGTTTGCTGGTGGTTCTGCTACTTCAGCTCCACCGATTGCTGGTGCTTCTACTTTTCCCGATCCGATCCACCGCTTGCCGCTACTCCTTCTTCTTCTCCGTCCCCGTCTGCTTCTTGTAGTTGTTCTCCTCCTCTGCCCCAATGGCGTCGTTGTAAAGTGCAGGCATTGTTGCTGTGCTTGTTCTGACTGCTGCTGCTGCTGCCGCTGTTGTTGGTATTTCTGTTTGTGGGAACGAGCACACATAGCAGGAAAACTATTTTCAAATTGGAAAGGTTTTGCACTTCACCAACGCCGCCGCACTGCAGTCGCGGTGCAACCTCTTTCGCCTCTTCTCCCGCCACCACGTCTTCTTGTTAGTTTGTTATTTTAACTATTATATCAATTAGTTTCAGCGTTTGACGAGGCTGCCAGTGTCATGGCGACTTCTTGTCGTTCCTGATTGCCGACCGGCTGCCTGGCTGGCTGGGAGGGAGGAAGTGGAAATTCAGTGCAGTACAGGGAAAGCCAGGCCAGGCCAGGCCAGGCCACGCCATCAGCCTCCCCTGCCACAGCCGTTGCAATTCAATGCTCTTCTTAGCTGGGGTTGCAACTCGATGGATATGTCTGTACCTACAAATAACAATACAGGAAAAAACAAAACAAACGGCATTCATTTAGAAAATATGTAAAGTAGACTCGACTCTCTTCGCCCTCTCCGGTGCGTTGGCATTTAAATGAGCGTGAAGCAGCAGAAATAACAATGAAACAGGGTTAAAAAGGTGTTCCGGCTCCATTCGCTCGTTCCTTCAGCTGAAAATTGGAGACAGGGAGAGAGAGCAGAGAAATGTTAATTTACAGAAGCACCAGCAGGTGCTGCAGTTAGACGCCCACGCAACAGTCGAGTCGAGTCGAGTCGAGTAGTCGTGTCGTCGTTGGTTGATTACTGCCTGGTGTGGCTGGTCACAAAACAACAAGCACCGTTACTCTCCATGCATGGAAACACTTACCCGCAGGCGCCAAAGCCTTGGCAAACACAGCCAGCCCTGTTGGATTTTCACACGCTGGGCTAGCTTAGCTGCAGCGAGCAACTCCTCGACAGGCAATCCATTGCATTGCAGTTTCCATTTGTTTTTGTCAACCCAGGCCCAGGCCGTGCGCATTCGATTTTTAATCGCGTGCGACTAGCCCATAAATTGGTGGCCCGCTGGCGCTGGCGGTGCTGCTGCTGGCTGTCACTAGCTGCAGCCTGACACTCCACTCTGCTCTGTCACAGTCCCGTCCCGATAAAAAGGCACTCAACACACACAAATCACCGATCCGATCCCAGCGTCAAGCTACTGTCCGCAAGACACGAGATGCGGGCTGCTGGGCGCTCGAGGGGCGTGTGAGCCGAGCCGCCGAGCCAGCGAGTTACAACAGTCATCGGTTAAAGGCCATTGACTCTTTTTATTTCTTCTTTGGTTTTGTCCAACTTACTACACGCCCTCATTGAAAGCTGCATGCTACCGCTACCGCTGCTGCTGCTGCTGCGGGGCGTGTGCCATTATGTGGGTCACGGGTCAATCATGCAATACGGAATCCAATCCCGTCATATATGAGAATACGTTTCCCATAATTAATGCGTCTGCTAATTGCCCAAGACCCACCCAGCGTTTCTCCTGGGGGGAGCGATTGGGAGTGGGAGTGAGAGTGCTGGCTGCACTGCTGGCTGGAGTGCAATTTTCGACAACTGCGTTGCTCTGCTCTTTCGGTTCGTTGTGTTGACCCAACTTAATAGACGAGCATGAAATCTAGTCACGAACTTAATCATGAACAACCGTGCACTAGATCCATGTTCGCCGACAAAATAGAGTCAGAGAAGAGCAAACGCTGCCGGATCAGACCCAGGCTCTGGCTCTGGCACTGTTACGGGGTCCATCCTTTCTTCCTCCTCCAAATGATGATTATTGCCAGTGCACGACTTTCTGTGGCATTTTTCGCCACTCTTCGAGGGACGGGCGATTGGTGGTGATTGGGTTTAGTTTTGGTTTTCAGATCGGGTTCTTTTTTGTTGTTTTTGGTATGGCATGGCATGGCATGTCATTGCTCTCGTGCCCGGCAACAATTTTCGATTGTGGGCCCGACGACGTTTGATCGGTTTTCATAGCTCAATTGGGTCCGAGACTGCGACTGCGACTACGCCCGTCCACTTCTACCCACTCCCCCCCTGGGCAGTGGGGAATGGGTGGGTTGGGTTGGGGTGGGGTGGGGTGTAATATGAATGAATCAAGCTCCAAGCTTCGAATTAAGGTTTATTATTTTTTGTGCCCGTTCGCTCTTGTTATTGTTGGGTTTTCTGCTGATTTATACAATACTATATCCCGCCTCAACCGCCAGCCGCCAGCCGCCACCTTCCCTTCGTCTTTCAAAAGCCGACAACGTCGTATTCGTCGACGTCGTGGCCGTCGTTCTCGCCCCGTCCGTCTTTCGATTGTTTAAGAATTGCGGCGTTGTTGCAGTTTGAATTTCTGCTGATCTGGGCAAAAATTCTCAAAAATAAAATAAGAGTAGGGCAAAATCCGATATGGCAACCGAATGATTCAACGGAAATTATTTGTTTGTCCCCATGGCAAGACGTAGCACCACCACCTATTAATCTGAACTATGGCAAGTCTTCCCAGAATTTCCAGCAATTTGTTCCGGCAGAAACCCAACCGAGAGAGGGGCGGAGCAGGAACGAAGAGGAGGAAACATCACCCAGCAGTAATGGAGGCGGAACTACAAACATGAATACACAACACACACACACACACACACACATGCACGGGCGGCGGACTGAGTGGTTGAACTCTTAACCTTTTCGTTATAGTTATAGTTACAGAAACTACAGACGGAACAATCACTCGAACAACATTTTCCACATTTTCTCAAGCGATTCCACAATTAATTTGTGAGTTAATTTCGGGCCTGCTATGTTATTCTTTCTCCATTTTTTGTGATCTTCGTTCGTTCTGTTCTTTGCATTCACTCCATACTATTCTTCTCATTTCGCCCCCCA